GCCACTGTGTTATCTGCTGGCCACTGTGTTATCTGCTGACCGCTGTTATCTGCTGGCCGCTGTGTTATCTGCTGGCCGCTCTGTTATCTGCTGGCCACTGTGTTATCTGCTGGCCATAGTGTTATCTGCTGGCCACTGCGTTATCTGCTGGCCACTGTGTTATCTGCTGGCCACTGTGTTATCTGCTGGCCACTGTGTTATCTGCTGGCCATTGTGTTATCTGCTGGCCACTGTGTTATCTGCTGGCCTCTGTGTTATCTGCTGGCCACTGTGTTATCTGCTGGCCCTTCTGTTATCTGCTGGCCACTGTGTTATCTGCTGGCCACTGTGTTATCTGCTGGCCACTGTGTTATCTGCTGGCCACTGTGTTATCTGCTGGCCATGGTGTTATAGTTATCTACTGGCCATGGTGCTATCTGCTGGCCACTGTGTTATCACCTGGCCATGGTGTTATCTGCTGGCCACTGTGTTATCTGCTGGCCACTGTGTTATCTGCTGGCCACGGTGTTATCTGCTGACCATGTTGTTATCTGCTGGCCATGGTGTTATCTGCTGGCCACTGCATTATCTGCTGGCCACTGTGTTATCTGCTGGCCACTGTGTTATCTGCTGGCCATGGTGTTATCTGCTTACCACTGTTTTATCTGCTGGCCACTGTTTTATCTGCTGGTCACTGTGTTATCACCTGGCCACTGTGTTATTTCCTGGCCACTGCGTTATCTGCTGTCCTGCAGGGTGTTATATGCCGCCCGAAGTGTTTTCATCTGCTTTAGGTGTTCTTGACGTGTAAGTTGTCGTGGGTGTCCTATGGCATGAATGTGTCTGATGTCTACAGCGTTATCTTAGCTGTCCTGTCAATCATTAGTCAAATCATTGTCTGCTTTAAATAAATTTGACATTTTTTTAGAGTAATAAATACATTATTCCTAAACCCATTTCAATAATACTTGTCTTTAATTAACAACTATTATTTAAAAAAATTTAGTCTAGTGTAGCTAAAAAAATAAATAAATTGTTCTCATCAGGATCGGCTAAAGTCCTACTTTTTATTTTCCATTTAGCGGAAAGGGGAAGTTATAGACTGGTTCTGCTACCCAAGAAATGGTCGATACAAATCGAAAATCGTACTTTACCATCACAAATATTTTTATTTCAATTTAGCTAAAACCATAAAACTCAATGGATCGCTGAAATAAAACTAAATGGCCATTCCAATTTCAGGTTAATTTTTCTCTTGAAGTTTTCATTCATGAAATCATGGGAAATAATAGCAGTAACAATAATAAGACAACACTTCGCAAGTCCCAGTCCGTTCCTGATACCCAGGTTTGTAGGCTTGTTATTACATTTTAAAGAAGCCTTACAATAGACTATAGATGTCTTAACTATATGTTTGTATAACTCTATTATAGTTTTTCCCAACCTTTTCTTTACTTTGCACTTCATATATGATGAAGATTTTGACTAGTCTAGCACTCATACTAGTCATACTAATAGCGGCAAGTGGATAAGAATTAAAAAGAATTGGAACACATTTTTTAAAATCATTGAGTCAATTATTGACTTAATTTTGACTGCTAAACTATAGAACTTAGAAAATTGACTTTTGACTTGTTACATGTAATAGTCCTATTACTTACGAAGTGTCTACATGTCCGGCGCCGGACAGATAGTGCGGGAGATAACGTCCAGCGGGCATGTCACGTGACTGCCGGACGACTAGTAGGCGTTATTATTCCGGCAGATCATATGACAAGTGGTCGTCGGTAAAATAGTTGCATTGCATTTGATATTCCGATCCCTAGATAATAAAGTGTTTGACTTTGAATATTAAACTAGTCGGCCTATATACTAACTAGTAGTATTATTACTACTACTATAACTAGTCTATTTGATTCCGACTCTTCAAAGAAAAAAGTCCCTTATCTTGGTTAATACATCTTGTAAAGCTCTACCTTGAAGCCTACATTTAAAATATGAAGAAAAGAACATAAAACCAGTAGACTTCAATAGACCTATGTCAATAAAGTTGTATTTCAGGATTTGTATTTAGTATTGCATGAGAAATAGGCTAGGCTACCACTATATTTGCCCTATATTAAGATGTAGGTCTATTGGTTTGTGAACTATCGGCCTCCCCGGCTTAAAGTTTATTTATCATCCTCACTATTATTTTTTTAGCATTCGTATTTTTTATTACCTTAATTCTCTCTCCCTCTCAGCATTGCTTCCTTCTAGAATGCATTATTTCTTAACCCCCACTTTGTTTCGGTAATACACATAAGTATTGTTTTCTATTATTTGTTTGCAAGATACTCAGTAAATTACTTGGTTCTCTACATTTTAAAATTAACAATAGTTTTGAATCATTCGCGGTCACGTGACAAGGCTGACGGACAAATATCTTGCGCCACTTTGTTACGGCAGTTATGTGACTTGGTCGTCGGACTAATATCTCGATAAAGTATTCTTCCGGCATTCATGTGACGTTGTTGCCGGACAAATAGTGCGGGAGATATACGTTGCCAGATGTGTAGACACTGCCTATTACTTATTATTGAGAAATTATTTAAAGAATTTCAACATTCATATTAAAAATAAAAACTAATGTCATGACGAGTCATGTCTCCTCTGTTCTGACTTTAAAATCTCATTTCCTCATTCCTCACACTCACACCCCCTGCCTGAAATGTTATTCACACCCATTGGGACTTGCAAGAACTCCAGGTTTTGAAATCCTTGTCTCTTAAGTATTTTAAGTATAAGAACACAAAACTGAATCTAATGTGTTTTTTAAATGTACAGGCTTTAATTTAATTTTGATATTATTTCTTTCCTGGAATTTACTGAATTTACTTGAAGCAAATTTTAAAAATTAAGGGGTTGTAATCAGCAAACTTGAATGACAATTAAACTTTTTTTGTCAATTCGCACATTAGTGTGCCTGTGGCTGTGCAGTTCACATTTGAATTCTGAGCAATCAATGTGGTTTATTTAGCTGATTTCCAGTTATGGTATTGATTCAATTTTTTTGAATTAAATAAATTTATGTGAGTATGACATTGGACTGACTAGCTCGAGGCTCTGCCAAAGTTAAAGTTGCCTGGGACTTTGTGCGTTGATAACAAGCTGGTTTGTTGTGCTAAAATAGTGCACTGCCCTTGCTTACTTTAATAGTGTCAATATAAGTATGCGATGAAACAACAAAAATATTCTTACATCTGCTGACAAATTATGTGCAATATATAAAAAAAATTTTTTGCTATGTAAGAGACAAGTAAGAGAAACAAAAACGGAAATGTTCTTTTCTGTGCATGAAACAATTGTTTCTTTAATAATCAAACATTTAACAATGGAAGAAAATTTTGAAAAATATTTGCCATGGTTAAACACTGAACAATTTGATTGGATAAGAAAACCGTTTGTTTATTCCGACTTCTCTAGTTTTACTCTGAATGAAGAAGAATTGAAATCGCTTTATTCAGATAGTGGATTCAAATTAAATTAATTGAAACGACTCCCGAAAGATTCTGGATCACTGGTAAAGATGCATACCCAGGTCTAGCAAAAAAAAAAGCACTAAACACTTAATTATCATTTTGCACGTCATATCTTTGCAAAGCAGGATTTTTAACAATGGTTAATTTTAAAAAGAAGAAACAAGAAATTTAGAAGAGGAGATAGGAGTGGCTTGATAATTTATTTGCCCCAAAATTGCACCAAACTCATGTACCACATTAAATTTTATATTTTTTTTTAAGCATTGTAATTTTAAGTAATTTTTTTAAATAACTATGTTTGCATCAATTAACACCTGTATTTTGATCTTTGATAAAAGTAACACGTTTAAACAGGAATGGCCAACACTAAACTCTGATACTGTTTTGCATGGAACATCCTTACAATGCAACATAAGCTTTAAGCAGGGGTGGCCAGCAGTTTGAAATCAAGGGCCCAATATTGTAACGGACGATGTTTTCACAAGAAAACAGAGAGGTAGCATGAGTGAACAGTGAATTGTTTTGACCATGTTTTTTCCACGAGGAGAGACAATCAATGGATTGTATTTTGAGATGCAAATGTGAACTCCACGTTTTTGGAGAGTAAAATTATGTTTTTGTCAGAGCGGTTGTTTTCCACGCTTTGCGGGTAATAAAGTATGAGTTGACTGAGATAGTGAGAGCTGAGCGCAGAGGAGTAGAGAATATAGTAGCGTGAGAGTTGAGATGTAGTAGAGTGGAGCTGAGTTGACAGTAATGTGAGGACGTGTCTTTCTTAATGATGGAATACTATAGATGTATATGTGAAATTACATTCATGCAAGGATTATTTATTAATATTATCAATATAAAGTGTGTTCAATAAAGTACTGTAAGTTTAACCAACCGGATTATAAGTGGAAGAATGAAGAAGCCTTAGTCGGCATCCTGAAATATCAACATAACATAAGTAACCATACTACTGACATAACCCACAGCATAAGAAATAAGCTCCCACGCCATGTCAGAGTAGTTTATGATAATAGCATAATACTGTATTGTAAGTGTTCCGTGGAAGAAAAAAAAAAATCAAATTTTAGTGTTCCCGGACTTACAAAAGATTGAGAAACACTGTATTAGACTAGTGAGAGCTGTAGGCACATAATTTCCTTAACAGGCCTCCCCAAAATGCAGGATGAACAAGTGCACTGTTTTAATTCAAAAATTCAAAAGCTAAGGGAGAACTGTATTATGGCTGCAAATGAGCTCAAACTAAGTTACTAAAGTCAGTGAAGTTCACTCTAAATTTGTATTCAGGCAAATAGTTAATTAACAATAACTACTTGTCCTATGCGATGCTTACTAGTAATTTTCAGAATTACACAGATGCAAAACTAGCTCACATCTTGCACATAATATAGAAATCACATAATATTTGTGTTTATTAAGACTAAAAGTTTCAAAATTGTTTCCTTGACTACCTTCAATGCCAATGTACTAATCAGATACAAAACTGTCCATCAGAAACTCTCCCCAGATGCCCCTGTGTTTAGTAAAGAAAAGTCTATGAGCCAGCAGCGTCTGAATGTAAAGCAAGGAAAACCAAACAAGGCCGGAGTGAAGAAACATAAACATGAGCAGGAAGAATTACCCCAGCTGCCACCAGCAGAAGCTGCATTTTTGCCAGATTTCCCATTAAGGGGGGATTTAGAGGAGCTGGAGTTTGAGGTTAACTTATATTTTTGTTAAATTTAACTTTTAAAATTTGATGGGCTTATTTTGTCTATATGAAACAGAATTAATATATTATTTAGGGTCATCGCGCGATACCTTGGGATCTTGATACAGTGAGTGGGTGTCATAGGTAAAATTGTGATAGTTTTAAAATCTTAATTGCTGGGATTGAATTTACTTAATAAGAAAAAATATTACTGGAATACCTCCTCTTGAAGTTAATTGTTGACGTTCACATCTTCATGTAGGTCATTGATGTCATAGCCAAAGGGGCATTTGGAAATGTCATCAAAGTTCAACGTGAGGATCAAAAACGGTTTTATGCCATGAAGGTGTTGGACAAGGAACAAATAATTCAGGAAGGTGCCATAAAACAGTGCAAAGATGAAGCTGCTATTCAGGTACCCATGGATTTCCTTTTTATGTTTTATTAAATTCAAAACTTTACCTACACATGAGGAACCCAAATTATGAAAATTAGATGCTAATCTTTTCTTGTTTATTCTAGTTTAATTAAAAATTTTTAAAAAGTTCAATATGACAAAAATGTCATTCCTACTTTCATTTAAGGTCATTTTACCCTGGTTTGTCTTAAGTTTAGTGTTATATGACATACCTCTGAGTTATCTCATGCTGCTAGTGCTAAACAACGTATTATTTTTCATTTTAAAAAAAGTTTTATTTCAGACAATGGCACACATAATTGGACACGTAAAATATTTGCTGCCAACTTTGTTAATTACAAAATAAGTTTGTGACTAAATTTTATACTTTGACAGCAATTGCATTTTATTTTATGGGAGATATAATTTATAAAAATGCTTTGTCATTTAGTCAGTGGCAGGTGACCATCCATTTATTGTGAAAGCATATGAGTATTGGCAGTCCAGGCGCTTTCTTTATATATGTAAGTCCTTGTTAATATTAAATCAAGATATTTTAAGAAACAAATGAATTCGAACATTAAAGCAGAATGATTTAGGATTAAAACCAAACATACAAAGGGTTTGCAGCTGTACTTAGTTGTAGGTGGTAGACCTATTAGAGAATTAACAGATATTTCTGTAGATACGTTATGGTTTTTAATTGATTTGAATGACATCTATCATTAGTTTTTTTGATTTTTCTGTTTTTCATCAGTTATAGAATTGATTGATTGAATTTTCTGTGTTTCATCAGTGCTTGACTATGTTCCTCATGGTGACATGTTTACACTTTGGACATTCCATGGAGCCTTCCCTGAAAATTTGGTTCGACTGTACATAGCTGAGATCAGTTTGGTCATAGGTGAGACTATGTTCTTCACACGTTGCATGATAGCTTCTTTCTCAAAATACTCTCAAAATACTCTCAAAATACTCTCAACATTTTTTGGTGTTGAATTAATAACCATTTTTTTTTCATTTGGTAATTTACATTTAGGCATTAAAAGTATAATTCAGTGACACCATACTGTGTGTTAAGTAAAATTAATAATTCGTAAAAAAAAATAAAAATAACATGACTTTTTAAATATGCATCCTTTATTCTCAGTTGTTGTTATGAATGTTAAGTTGATATGAGCATTTGTAATCGAATGGCTCATATGATTTTTCAGACTACCTCCATAATGCTAGTGTCATCTACAGAGATGTCAAGGTAAAGAATGTTTTCTCTCTTTTTTTCTTTTCTTTTTGTACATCATCATCATCATGATGTCTTTGGATCGTTGGGACGCCACAGATGACATGAAAACTATCCTTCTCCATTCCTCTATGTTTTCTGCACTTCATGCTTTTTTAAATCCTCATCTTAAAATTTGTTACAAAAGTGAAAATTTTAAAACTCATGCCCAAAAAATGTTATTTTCATCTTAAAATATCAGTTGCCATGTTGTATATACTTCATGGGACATTCAAAGTTAATGGATTTTGTTTTACATATTCAGCAGCACTTTTTATAGACCTCTGTTTGGGAACAACTGATAAAATGGTTGACTTTTTTTGTTGTTGTATTATTGCACTATTATTTTACAGATGGAGAACATTTTGTTTGATCCAAAAGGCCATATACAGATGACAGATTTTGGACTTGCCAAATGGTTACAAGGGGGTGACCAAACAAGGACAGTGTGTGGTACTCTCCAGTATATGGGTAAGTCACGATGGAAGTCACAACTCCCATAGGCCCATTTGTTTGGGGCTTTTTCCATTATTACATAGAAACAAACAATTCATTGCCAATATTACATAAAACAGTTGGGATTTTGCATGTTGTTGCTCTAATTAGTTTTCTTTACTTAAGTAATTTTGTACACAATACATAAGTCCAGAGTTGTAGTTTAAAGAAATACAATACAAATAAAATTAAATGTTGCTATATCAAATGAGAGGCATATGCACAATACATAAGTCAGAGTTGTAGTTTAAAGAAGTAAAATACAAATAAATTTAGATATTATGAGAGAGACATGTTATAGTTGTGTTAAATATTTTCCCCATCTGAAGTACTTAGCTACATTTCATAGACGATTGAATCTTATTTTCTCTTTGACTAGCGCCTGAAGTGTTGTCTGTCTACCCGTACGGTCATGCAGCAGACTGGTGGTCTGTTGGAATCCTTATGTACGCCATGCTAGCTGGCAAGGTCAGTTATTGTTGGAGGCAAAAGTTGATAACACACCACCGTGGGTTTTTAACACAACCAGCCAGTAGTTTTACACATTTGACCCGGTCTACTTATTTTTGTGAGTTACAACATTTTCTGTGATTAGTGCTCTGTACTTCCAAGTGGAGGCATCCGATCATCTGAAATATTAAGTTAAAAAATATATAACCAGGAAAGCAATCATGCTAAACTGCAGACATGCTGTTACTGTGTTTTACTTCATCCTTTAGAGAGACCTAAAATTAAGACATTAATTGTACTGGTGTAAAACAAAAACAATGAATTGCTCACTTTGGCAATTTCTTTTAACCGTTTTATAAACCATAAATCAAATGCACAATTGTAACATTTCTAGGTGCTATCCAGTGCTTTTAGGAATGGGGACTATTTGTTACAATTGTTTAGTTAGGTTATGGCAAATGAAAATGTATTAATATTTGGCATTGAATGATTACTGCATTGTTTCTTGAAGTACCATTTTCTTTTTACACCTTTTAACTACTAACACAATAAGGCAGTAATCTTTTGAGTAATATATTGTTAAACTCTCTTGAAATCCAAAATTTGAAACAAAGAACTTATAATTATTTGAAACCAGTGTAAGCAAATTCTCACTGACAAGCTTATACTTGTGTTCAATCTCTCAGTACCCGGTAGATGGGGCGGACACTCATACAAAAATGGCCCAAAGAGTATTTGAATGTGACTATCTGCTCCCCAGTCACATCAGTGACTCAGCACAAGATGTCATTAACAGAGTAAGTGTTCAACTTAGGATTTAGAGTTGGCATTGAGGGATTAAGTGATGGCATTGGCAGGTCACATGCTCCAGACAACAAATTACAGATGCCCAATTTTGTATGGCAACGCATATCCATGTCCAGGCCTTAAAATTATTATTTTTTTTGCCAAACTGTACTGGACAATGAACATTAATTAGTCTTGAAATAATTCAAAAATTGTTTAATAAACTTTACAATGAATTATTTGGTAATTATCAATCAGTTTATCATGTTGAGAAATGTCTCCAGTGTCACACTGGGAACTCTTTCATTTTTACAAAACTGCTTATAATTTAAAAAGCTACTGGCTTTAGTGATTTAAAAAAAAACATAATCAATAAATGGCTAGAAAGTGGGCAAAAGCTCTGATGAATGGGAGATACAAATAGAAAGCTGCCCCAGGTATCGACAGGTTGTACCTGGCGCAAGAGCCAGTCTGACCACTATAGAAGAAACTGAAAGGAACAGTTAAAGGAAAAAGTTAAATCATGTTGTACTGTTATTTCTCCTTAGTTTTTAACAAAAAGTCCTCACAAACGACTGTCTGACCTCTACACAATTCAAGATCTGCATTTCTTCCAAGATATTGTCTTCTCTGATCTGATTGACAGAAAGGTAAAAAAAAAAAAAGAAAAAAAAAAAAAAAAAAAAAAAAAAACTGTTACAGATGGAATAATGAATTTAACTAGAAAAAGTTTGATCTTATAACTATGAATGAGCCTGTATTTGCAGACCTATGAAATCTTGGAAATGAAGACACAGGTTTTAAACAATCTTCCAATCCACTGTTTGTTTCTGCATTGCTTCTTAAAATAAAATTATTGCTACCTTTGTAAGTAGCTATTTATCAAAATATTAAACATTGCATGTACTGCAATAGGAAAAGCAACATAAAAATAATGTCATATTGAAAAAGTCAGTTTAACTTTGCTGCTTGTCTGTAGGTCTCTTGATTCACAGGAATATTGCTGAAGTATTTTTTTAATTGAAAATTAATGTTTGGATGATATTGTTCTATCATTTGTTTGTAAAAACTGCATTGCCACGTTTCAAACAACTCTGAAAAAGTTAACTGATCACCTTAAGATGTTCTCTGTTGTTAAATTTACTGACTGACCACAGGTGAACCCGATTGAAATAGTGCCTGAAGATTTCTTCCCGATGACTGGTGAAAGTTGGGCACCAAATGTCATAACGCCCGAAGAGCAGAGACACTTTGATCAGGTATGGTCGGAATTAAGAATTTATCACTAATTTAACTCATTAAAAAATGTGTCTCAAACAATTATTTAAGAACAGATTTAGCTAGCATTTTGATATAGACTTCAGACACTTCTATGACCAACAATATTTTATGAACTGTCTTTTAATTTAAATGATTGGTCTGAATATTTGAAGGGCTTTAAGCTATCAACTGTAATAAATTAATACAGAATACACTTTCCTTGTTCCATAATCGCATTAGCCTCATTAGTGGATATATTCTTAGTTTGGCTAAAATTAAGTTTAAAAAATTCCTTTACCAAATAGCCAATGGAAATAAAAATAGAATAATTTTAAAAGATAAGGTTAGAGAAAGGTAATCAAATTAAATTAATAAGACACGAACAAATTGTGTCAACAGAACAATATGAGTTAGCTTTAATAATAATTATACATTATACACAATTAAACGTTTCGGCGCATGCCTTCATCAGTACAAACAAACAAAACACATTTAAATAAGTATAAATTAAATTTACATAATATCAATATACATATCCTACCTAAAACAAAAAAATATAGGAGAGGGTGCTAAAACCAGACAAAAACAAAGTAAAGAGAAGTAGAAAGGAAGTGATTTTAACATAATTGGAAAAACCAAACAGAAAAAGACATGGCAGCTAAGTAAAACTATGGATTTCCGGCGGGACAAGAGCCTTAGGGACATGCTAGTTAGAAGCCACCTCCCTGCTATTAAAGCACATAAAGGCACAAAAAGTTGCAACCATAACCGTTGTAACTCATGTCCCTACGTGATCGAAACTGATACGATTACTTTCCCTCTGGGAGTATTCAGAGTAAAAGATGGCTTTACCTGCACAAGTTGCAACGTGATTTACACCATCATTTGCAAAAAGTGCGGTAAACTATACATAGGAGAGACAGGTCGTCGCCTTGGGGACCGTTTCAGAGAGCACCTCTATAACATAAATAAACACGCTCTCTGTCCGGTCTCCAAACATTTCAATAGCCCTAACCATAATGGTATCTCAGATATTGTAGTTACTGGTATACTCTATACTAGTAACACTGCAGATAGAATCTATATGGAGAACACAAATTAATAACTAGATTTGGTACGTTGTCTCCATATGGATTGAACCAAATTCATATTTTTACTTAGCTGCCATGTCTTTTTCCTGTTTGGTTTTTCCAATTATGTTAAAATCACTTCCTTTCTACTTCTCTTTACTTTGTTTTTGTCTGGTTTTAGCACCCTCTCCTATATTTTTTTGTTTTAGGTAGGATATGTATATTGATATTATGTAAATTTAATTTATACTTGTTTAAATGTGTTTTTTTTTGTTTGTACTGATGAAGGCATGTGCCGAAACGTTTAATTGTGTATAATGTATAATTATTATTAAAGCTAACTCATATTGTTCTATTGACACAATTTGTTCGTGTCTTATTAATCTATTTTAAAGCTTTATCGCAATCCAACACTTTTTATAATCAAATTAATATGGCTAGTGTCAAAAGGCTTTTCTTTTAGTGTAACCAATACGTTGTTTGGGTTTTCTAACTGTCAAGATTCTTTCTTTTTGTCCAGTTTGATGACAGCAGTGAAACGATTACCCAAGATGAAGGTTACCAGCACCTGCCGCATTACCAAAGGTCACATCACCACCACTCAATCACCTACAGACCACAATCTCTTGACCGGCCCCAGGGGTCAGAAGCTAAGTCTCATCTTCCAGATTCTTACAGGAAACCTTCTCTAAGTCAGCCCATGAGTCTAAGTCAAGCCATGGAAGCAAAGAGTTCCCACCAGGATCCTGCACCACCACCAACTTCTTACAGTAAACAAATTTCTGTTCATCTGGATCATAAGCAAGAGGATTCAGGCTACAGCCGGCAAACATCTGCACCATTCAGTCATCACCACAGTACAGGGAACATAGCTTCTATTAACTCGGGTCTGTATTCAGTAAGTGGCAGCAGCAACTCATGGAGGGATCGGCCTGTACAGTCTTCCTCTGGCTATGACAGTGAAGATAATGTTGGCTCGGCGTATAACACAACAGCCTCTGGAGGTGGCGGCTCGGGTCTTTTCTTTCGTCAAAACAGTGAGGCCAGTGATCGTTTTGGCGGCGCGCAGAACTACTGTGACGTGAGCAACCTGCCCGGCGCATCAGGCACCCTGCGTAATAACACAAACAGTGTTGACGCCAAGACTGGTGTGCCGGGCCTGGGTCAGGCCACGGTAAGCCATCAGAGTTTAACGAGGAGAAGTATTAGTGGTGACGGTCCAGTCTCATCGAGCAACCACCCAACTAACAACTTCACTTCAACCCCTGTTAACCCCAGTCCCTCACTTACCTATAAGACTGTGGAGCCCCCGCCAACTGTCACGCTGAAGTCTCCAGGGTTTAATACAGCACCGCCGGGATACAGCAGGCAAGTGTCCGGCTTTAATCCCACAGACAGTTCTCCGACCTTCACAATTTCGGCCAATGCCTCCCAGGCTTACAGTTCGGCTAGCCAGGTTTCACAAAGTGCCCATAACACCGGCCCCTATCACACGAGGCGTTCTAATGTGCAGAACAGTGGGGCCTACAAAACAAGTCAGGGTTATATTACTGTTGATGCCCCACCTGTCATCACACTACCACAGCAGAACAACTTCAATTCTTACAAACCAGAAACACCCACTGGTACTTTGGGAACTAACACCTCTAATAATGGATTCAGCCATCCCTATACAACAGCTAATAATGGGCCTAACAATCCCTACACATCGTCTAACAACTACACAAGGTTGGAACAACAGAGCATAAGTCTTAACACCATACCCCAAGTCTCATCAGAAAAGCCGGTGGTCCCTATTAAGCCTGTTCCTCCCCAGAAACCAGCCAAACCGTCAGTCCCTGTCAGGCCCCAACCTGCTCCGAGAAGATCTCTCATGGGCCAGGCCAGTAACTCGTATCCTCAGAC